CCTTGTACCCGGGTCTTACGCCCCCCCTGATTATAGGCATCGCTGTCAGTGCCATCGCTTTTGGTCCAACAGAGCGATGTCTGTTTTGCTGCGGTTCTGTGTTGCGACGTGCTGCCAGCCAGGAGAAAACGTGTGGGGTTCCGTGCGAGGCCCTGACGGCGGCCCGTGCGAGGGAGTGGAGCCAGTGCGCCGCCAAGATGGAGCAGTCGCTCGGCACCCGGAGAAGAGTCGGGGAAAACGTAAGATCATCGGGGAAAACGTAAGATCAGAGCCCCGCTCCTCCTCCTCCTCCTCCTCCTCCTCCTCCTCCTCCTCCTCCTCCTCCTCCTCCTCCTCCTCCTCCTCTCCTCTCCTCCACCTCCTCCTCCTCTCCTCCTCCTCCTCCTCCTCCTCCTCCTCCTCCTCCTCCTCCTCCCATCCTCTAGGTCGGAGTAGGTCAGAGCCCCGAGTCATCAGGGGTAACTCGGGTCAGGGCTAACTCGGGTTCGTTTTTCGGGAATCCCAGCCCGCGTTACCCCGGACCCGAGTTACCCCGGATAGCTCGGGCGCCCAGAGCCCCGAATCATCAGGGGTAACTCGGGTCAGGGCTAACTCGGGTTCGTTTTTCGGGAATCCAAACCCGAGTTACCCCGGACCCGAGTTACCCCGGATAACTCGGGCGTCCAGAGCCCCGAATCATCAGGGGTAACTCGGGTCAGGGCTAACTCGGGTTCGTTTTTCGGGAATCCAAGCCCGAGTTACCCCGGACCCGAGTTACCCCGGATAACTCGGGCGTCCAGAGCCCCGAATCATCAGGGGTAACTCGGGTCAGGGCTAACTCGGGTTCGTTTTTCGGGAATCCAAACCCGAGTTACCCCGGACCCGAGTTACCCCGGATAATTCGGGCGCCCAAGTAAGACTCGAGTACGCCGGAGCTCGGATGGGCCAACGTTTCTTGGCGAGCGCGTCCTGGATTCTGAGGGTGCAGTTTTCGTGGGAGGTCTGCAGCGGGAGTTCGAGCCAAACTTCAGATTGGGCCTCGTCATTTTCATGATGGCCCCGTCACGCCCACCCGAGTCCCCCGTAACCGAGTCTTACGCCTCCACGACAGAAGACCCAGAGATCCGACGCTCCAAAAGAAAAATTATGGGGCGGGCGGTTTTCGGCCGTGTTCGGCCGCCTGGGGGGCCCTCCCCGGGCTCCAAGAGAAAGGATGGACCGTGCGGTTAGGGGCTGTTTTCGGCCTCAAGGGGCCCTCGCCGGGCCTCGGGACCGTCAAAGAACGACTCGGGGCGAAAAACTGGCCCTGGGGAAGTGGTCCAGACCTCCGGGGCCCACGCATCAACAAAAATTGGAGCAGCCAGATGTCTGGGGAAAAGGAAGGCGAAGAAGACACTGCATAAGCACGAACTGTTCCTTCGCCTGCTTACGGGGATCGGCCTTTTGGGGGTCAGGAGAAGGCGAACTTGATTTCTTGGGTTATCCTTGCTCGGGGCCGCATGTGTCTCAAAAGCTGTGTCCTGTCGATTGTCCTGAGCACTTTCTTTGGAATTTTTGCGCTCGGGCCAGCATTCCTCTTCGCAGATCCACGTTCCTTTGGTTGCCCTTCGCTGACTCTGACCCCCCGAACCTAGGAGTCTGACCCTCAGCCCCGAACATGCGACGCCCTGCTTGTTTCAGCACGGCGCCCCCGGAAGCCCCGACCCTCTCCCGCGGGAGCGACGTTTCGTCCCGAGTCGCTCTCGACGGTCCTTGGGGCCCGGCGAGGCCGCCCATAGGGGCCGAGCATAGGGAAACACCTCCCGCCCTTTTCTGTTGCAGCTCGGGAGGGGAAAAACACACATAGACACAATTATTCGCCGATTCCTAGAAAATAGGCGAAAATATGGGAAGTGGGGGGGAACACAGAAACCCCGAAACTGTGGGAAAATGTGGGGGACCTTTTCATTTGTGTGTATTTACTTGTGTGCCCCCAGGGCCCCTTCAGCCGCGCGGTCATGTCTGGGGCAGCAAGCGAACGAGCTTTCGGAGCCCCGCGCGGGTTTCAGGGGTCGGCGCCGGGGCGCCCCCCGGCGCGCTCCGCGGAGGAGGAGGAGGAGGAGGAGGAGGAGGAGGAGGAGGAGGAGGAGGAGGAGGAGGAGGAGGGACGGGGGACGGGGGAGAGCGCCGATCCAAGAAGCCCGCGTGGACCTGACCCAGACATCCGGCTGCCCCCACTTTTTCGATGCGTGGGCCCCGAAGGTCTGGACCACTTCCCCGGAACTCGTAGGCCTCCCAGATGGGGTCGGAGTGGATGGGGGTCGGAGGATCGCGCAGCGTCGCCAATGCACCGGCGATGCGGCTCGATGTCCATACAAGTTTTCTCCACGCCGACGTCACAGACGCATCGCTGACGTCGCCGATGCACTGGCGGTGGAACGCCGATGCATTGGCGATGCGGCGCGATCTTCCAACACCATCTACTCTTACGTCGGGCCCGTCCCTCTACAGGGGGAATATTCAAAAATAGTAAAAAAATTGTCTGGGGACTATTGTTTGAGCATTTTTTGGCCATTGGGGGGTATTTTTCGCGAATCTTTTATTTTTCGTCCAAAATCCCCCTGTAGGGGGACACGCCCGACTTGAATCTACTCGGGCCCCACCCGGGAGGCCTCGAGGAGCCCGTTCTGCGCCCCGAGTCTTCCTTCGACGCTCCCGAGGCTCCGAGAGGGACCCCAGAAGCCGAAAAAACAGCCAAAAACAGCCCGTTCATTCTTTTCTGGAGCGTCGGATCTCTGGGCACAGGTGCACATGTATTCGGGCAGGGGATCGACTGCAGAGTAGATTTGCCCCAGCATTGGTTTTCAGTCGAACCTACGAAACATGCGAAGATTGCCCCGCTGACCTACCAACATTCGAGCAGTGGCGAAGCGTCGCGGTTTGCCTGTAGGCCCAGAATGTTCTAAGAACTTGTTGTGGTCTGCACGGAATGTTCTTAGAATATTGCTGGCTGAGACTGTCTTGTTTTAACACATCGAGTCTGTGTTCTAAGAACACCGCTTTGTTCTTAGGACATTTTCGGGTTCGACGAACTTTTTGTGGTAGGACCATAGGAATGCCGGGACGGTCGGCCCCTTTCAAAACATGCTACGTATATGTTCGTAGATCCGACGGGAAACATCGATTTCGGGATAAATCGCTTCTGCAGTAGGTCCCCTGCTCGACCTATGCCGCCCCCGTGCTCCTCTAGGCACGCCCGCGCCGCAGTCGCGGGCGGAGTTCGCGGCGAGGCAGGCGACGCTGGAGCAGGAGCTCCGCGAGCAGCAGGAGCTCAAGCGGACCCTGCTGCACACGTCCGCGGAGCTCTCGGGCTGGAGGCCGGGCGCCGCGAAGTCTGCCTGCGCGGCCGCTGCGCCCTGGCCAGGCCCAGCCCGAACCCAGGAGCTGTGCATACGCCCTCCTGGCTTAGCAAGGGCTCCCTCGAGGGCGCGAAGTTATTCGCGCTTCGCGGTCCTCGTTCCTTCTCCCCCTCCTCCTCGTCCTCCTATTCTCCCTTTGGGAAGGCGGCGCGAGAGCGCGAAGTTATTCGCGCTTCGCGCAGCGCGAAGCGCGAAGTTGGGAGCCCTAGCTTAGGCAGGAGGGCGTGGCTCTAGTTGGCCCATGCTGTCTCCTGCTAATACGATCAAGAACTCCGGCAACATGTGACGGGGTCCAGCGAAGAGAGGGTGGTGCAGCAGGTCTGGTACAGCAGATGCGTCGAGGGTTTCCGCAGGTGTGGGGCCTGCAACGCATCCCGGTGTGCAAGTGTGTTGCTGAATTTTCGACTGCATCCGCTGCAATGAAGTGGAATACAAGTCTCCTGCGCACTACATTTGCAATACAATTGCCCCAAATCTACTGCACCACCCCCTTTCAGCTGGACCCCCTTTGGGCGCATGCGCCGCTGCTGTGTTCAGGCTGGGCCTGGTCAGGGTGCGCAGCGGCTGCGTATGGATTTCGCCGCCCCGTGGAGGGAGGGCGCTGCGAAGTCGCCTCCGCCGCGCCCCCCGCCGCCGCCGCGCACCGGGAAGCGGGTGCCAAGACTCCAGGCCTTGGCTGCTCTGATGCGCCGGTGCAGAGACGCAGCGCGCGCCGTGGAGGAGGAGGAGGAGGAGGAGGAGGAGGAGGAGGAGGAGGAGGAGGAGGAGGAGGAGGAGGAGGAGGAGGAGGACCCCATCCCCCTCCAAGAAATGGTGGTGGTGGTGGTGGTGGTCGCCGCGTGCAGGCTCGGCACGACGTGAGCCGCCGCGTGTGGGCGGACGCGCCGCGCCAGGCCCCCCCGCGCGCGCGCCTGCCGTCTGCGCGCCGAGCTGCGCATCGCCGTGCGCCTGCGTGCGGCGTGCTGCGCATCGGGGCAGGGGAGCCCCACGAGGAGCAGGAGGAGGAGGAGGAGGAGAGGGAGGAGGAGGAGGAGAAGAGGGAGGAGGAGGAGGAGGAGGAGGAGGAGGAGGAGGAGGAGGAGGAGGAGGAGGAGGAGTTAAACATGTGTTGAAAACATGTGTAACACATGCCCTAAACATGTCTCAAGCATGTCTTTACATGTTCACTAGGGGAACGAAGAATGACGTACACATAGAAACTCGGAGGTCCGCGCGGATTTCTCGGATCGGCGCTGGAGCCCCCCCGCCCTGGCGCGCGGCGCGCGCCAGGGCGGCGCCGGGGGCGCCGTCAGGGGGGGTCCCAGCGCGGATGCGAGAAGTCCGCGCGGGACCGAGTGTTTTTCTGTGTTTGTGCCATTGTCCGTTTCCCGACGCCAGGCCCCTCGGCAGACGACGCCGCCGGCGATCCCGACGCCCGAGCCCGCGGACCCCTCCGGCAGCCGCGCGGACCAGCGTGCCGCGCTGGCCACCGGCTCCGCGGCGCCAGCCGCCTCCGCGGCGCCTGCCGGATCCCAAGGAGGAGGAGGAGGAGGAGGAGGAGGAGGAGGAGGAGGGAAATTGAGGAGGAGGAGGAGGAGGAGGAGGAGGAGGACAAGGAGGAGGACAAGGAGGAGGACAAGGAGGAGGAGGAGGAGGAGGAGGAGGAGGAGGAGGATCCGAGGATCCCACGACATGATCTTTTCTGCCCGGCGGTTCTTTCCCTGGATTTCGGCGCCTCCGGGGTCCGTGGTCGGGCCTGGGGGGGCCCTCAAGGATGGGTTTGCGGCGGCAGGCCAGCCACGGGGAGAGGGGTTGGGACCTCCATGGGGCCGCGGACTGACAACAAGGGCTCCCTCGAGGGCGCGAAGTTATTCGCGCTTCGCGCTTCGCGGTCCTCGTTCCTTCTCCCCCTCCTCCTCGTCCTCCTATTCTCCCTTTGGGAGGGCGGCGCGAGAGCGCGAAGTTATTCGCGCTTCGCGCTTCGCGCAGCGCGAAGCGCGAAGTTGGGAGCCCTAGCAAGTCATCTCGGCGGACGCCAGTCATCGCCCACCAAGCCACCCCAACCCCACCCGAAGGCCTCCATTTGCCCTCCATTTCCGGAAGGGGGGGGGGGGGTCGGGGCACGATGAAAGAGCACATCTCTACGGAACCCGTCCCCCCCCCCCCGAAATTGGGGTCTTCGGGGTGGCTTGGGGTGGTTTGGTAGGTAGTCAGTCTGGGGACGAGCCCGCGAAGCAGGCAGCGGCGCCGGCGAGCCCGAAGGCAGCGGAACCAGCACGGGGCCTGTCCCCAGCGAGCCCGAAGAAGCAGGCGGCCGCCGTGGACTTCAACGAGCACCTGGACATGGTTCGCCGGAGGAGGGGGCGGGGAGGCGGCGACCCAGAGATCCGACGCTGCCCCGCTGTTTTGGGCTGTTGTCGGATTTCTCTGTTGGCCTCCGAGGGTCCTCGCCAGGCCTCGGGATCGTCAAGGAACGATTCCGGACGAGAAACTGGCCCAAGGGAAGTTCGGCCACGCGCAGGGGGGGGGTAGGGGACAGGGGGGAGGCTTCTTGGAAGCATCCTGGCTTCTTGGAACGGCGGGGGCCTCGGGGCCCACGCATCAAAAACTGGGAGCAGCCCGATGCCTGGGTCAGGGCTGAGCACAGACAGGCCCCTGCTGAGGTAGTCCGGGCGGGCCCCCAGACAGGGCACCCGAACAGTCCCAGCCTCAGTGGGTCCCAGAGACGGCAAGGACGTCTTTTCTCCGTTTCTGCAAATACATGTTTCGTGGAATTGGGAGCGGTAAAAGAAACGGCAACCGGACACGGCAACGGAAACGGTTTTGGAATTGGAGCCAGAATGGGAATTGGCGAAACACCGGCGACGGAACCCGACAGAAAACGGTGCCGGAATTGGCAAGAAAAACGGCAAAGCAGAGCCGGTAACAAAACGGTCTTGTCCGCCAGAAATCCGGCGACGGAGCCAGAAAAAAACGGCGCCGGAACCGGCACGAAACACGGCTAAGCAGGGCTGGTAGCAAAAGCGGCTCTGCCGTTGCCAGGGCCCTTGTTGGAAGGTCCCAGCTGGCCTCGGGGCATACCGCCCGAGTGGCCTGCGCAGCGGTCTCAGCACCTTGGCGCTGCCTCCGGTTGCGTTCCCCGGCCACGCGCAGAGGGGAGTATACAGTGGGGGGCCAATGCCTGGGAGCACCCTGCTTGCCTCCAGGGTGCCCTGAATTTCTTAGGCCTCGATGGTTTTTCGATGGGAAGCGTGACGTTCCCACACCAAGAACCCATGGACGTCCTGGGCTCTCAGGGTTGGGTTTCTTGTGGAAGGTTTCTTGTGCACTGGCCTCCACTGTCCACTTTAGGTGTATGGGGGGAGGCTTCTCAAAAGCACCCCTGCTTCTTAGAAGGCGCGGGCCTTGTCCCCAGACAGGCTCGCATGCTCGCGTCGTCAACAAAAATCAGGGCGGGAGGTTTCTCTCGCAGCTTTCGGCCCCCGGGTGCCCTCGCCACGCCCCAGGGCCGTCAGAAAACGACTCGGGACGAGAAGCTGGTACTGGGGAGAGGGTCGGGACTTCCGGGGACCCCGTCCTGAGAAATCCGGACGTCCCATGTCTGGGCCTGTAAATGTAAGGCCAGCGTCTTCTGAGGAGCAGCCTCCTTCTAAGAAGCCTTCCCACCGCCCACTATCAGGAGGGGAAAAAACACACAGACACAATTAATCGACGATTCCCACAAAATATGGGAAAATATGGGAAGTGGGGGGGAAGACAAAAGCCCAGAAAATATGGGAAAATATGGGGGATGTTTTTATTTGTGCGTATTGATTTGTGTGCCCCAGTGCCCCTTCACACTACCCTTACTGAGGCCCTGGGCGCTCTCCGCCCCAGACAGTTGGGGTGTCGAGACCGCCCTGGACTGCGCGGGGGGCTTGTTGAGGACAGACAGGGCTACTCCCAGGAAAATATGCAAAAATATGGGAAGTGGGGGGGAAGACAAAAACCAAAACAAATGGGAAAATAGGGGGAATATTCATAGTTGGGGTGTCGAGACCGCCCTGGACTGCGCGGGGGGCTTGTTGAGGACAGACAGGGCTACTCCCAGACACGATCCCAGAGATCCGACGCTCCAAACCAAAATGGGGCGGGCGGCTTTGGGCTGTGTTCGGCCTCCGGGGGCCCTCGTCGGGCCTCGAGAGCGTCAAAAGCCGCACTCCTGGACGAAACGTCGGCCCTGTAGTGAAGTGGTCCAGACCTCCAGGGCCCACGCCTCCAAAAAAGCGAAGCAGCCAGGCATCTGGGATCGCACCGCGAACAAAAGGAGGACGGGGCCGAGACAGTTTCGGCACGGCGTCCCCGACAGCCCCGACCCTTTCTCAGAGCGTGAATTACCTACCCCGCTTTCGCTCCCAGGCAAAACCAAGCCATACCACGCGCCTCCTCGTCAAGCGGCCTGACCAGTATACAGGCTGCAATTCGGCATCCTTTGGTATCTCTTGGAAGCGAGGGCAGTCAAGAGCGAGGCAGGTCTGTTTTCCCCCCACTTTCCCCAGGGCCGTCTCTTCATCCTGGCTCGTGGTCTGACGGCCCTGGGGCCCGGCGAGGCCCCCAAAATCGGCATCCCCCCAACATACTTATACTATGTGTTCGTCGCCCCCCCAGGGGCGACGCGCGCACCGAGAAATCTTGTAGTATCTGCGTCGTGGCGGGCGCTTTCTGGCCACACCGCTCGAGAAACGATATACTACAAGATGGGTATAATATATGTTCGGGTCCGACGCGCGCCTCCAAGGCGGACATACAGTATTAGTATGTCTCTGTGCGTCCCACCAAAAGGGCCGAGAGCACGGCGGAAGACCGCCCGCCCCGCCTTCGGCGCCTAATTATGGGGCGCTCGCCCCAGGCCTCGGCACCGTGGGGCCACGGCTCCAGAGGCATCGCAGGCCCAGAGGTCGACACCAACACCAAGATCGGCGGTGTGCATCCACCGATCGGGGGAGCGTAAGACCCGGGTTTGCCAGGACTCGGGTTCGCCATTTTTTTTTGACGACCGCGACTCGGATTTTGACGAGTAGGAGTTTCGTGGGATGTCTGCAGCGGGAGGCCTCGTCAAAATGCAGGCTCGGCCTCGTCATTTTTTTGACGACCTCGTCGGGAATTTCCGAGTCCCCCGTACCCGGGTCTTACGTCCCCCCGAACCGAGGGAAGACTCGAAAATGGCGGCAGTTTCACGGATCGCAGCCCCCCAGGGACGGCGAGGTTTCATTTGAATCCGCGCGTCGCCCTCACCGATCCCGATCTCGGTGATGGTGGTAATATTCTGGCTTCCAAGGGGGCCGAACTGTGACCACCGACAGCGAAAAAATGAGGACCGTCTTCTCCGTGTGGAGGCAAACCCCCTTGTGCTGGTGTTGGTGCCAATTTCCAGGCCTCCAAGGATGAAAGGCCCAGTCCTCTCCCGGGAGGAAAATACACACAGACACAACGGATCGCCGTTCCCCCCCCAGAAGATGTGGAACACGTGTGGGAAGTGGAGTGGGTGACCAGGGAGACGAACGTCCAGAAAGTATGGGAAGTCTGGGTAACCCTGGGGCTTGTGTCTATATCTTTGCGCGTCCCTGGGCCCTCTTCAGTACTGGAGAGCATCAGGGCGTCGCATGCTTGGGCTCCGATGGCCCGTCGTGAGGCCAGCCTGGTGGACCGCTGGGGGGGAGCCTCTGCGCGCAGCCCGAAGCCGTACCGTACCCCAGGAGGGACTCCTTTCAGAGGCTCGTGCAGAGGTCGAGCATGCTGGCATCGCTCATGCGGGACGTGGGGGACGTTGTCGCAGCGGACGCGGAGGCGCCGAGTAGGGGATCGACTACAGAACTGATGTAGCCCGAAATCGATTTCCCCGTCGAGCCCACGACCAATAGATAGGATGTTCGATAGATCCGCGGAGCATTCGACGTATTCCAGAGATTCGACGGGAAAAACAATTTTTCGGGGGGGACAGAACCCCCACCTTGGCACGTCGATTAGTGAATTGTCCGTTTTCGGTTCTCGAGAGGGCGCCGCAACCGTCATTTTCCAGGCTTGCGCCCGCCAGGTTCGGGCCCGTGGTCGTTTTCACGAAACCACGTTTTGCTAAAATGTGTTTTGCCCATCCCTGAATTTGGGGGTAAATCACTTCTGCAGTCGTCAAGGGAGGACAAACCACCCGGACCGGACAATTGGCGTTTACTAAACGGCCTTGGGCGTCTACTAAACAGCCCTGCCCTGCTCGATTCCTGAAGTGGGGGCGTTGAGTAAGCGGCTTCGCGTGTCGGGGTGGTCATTATCGGGGTGGATTTTCTGCCCTCTAAGTCGATCCCTGCTCGAAGGCACTCAGCCCTCGTCGCAGTGGTGTGGGCTCCCAGCTGGCGGACGACGAGGGCGGCGAGCCCGTGCAGGCGGCCGCCACGAGCTTCACGAAGAACGACGAGGAGCTCTGCGATCTGGGCCCCGGCGTGCTCCTCTCGCGGGTCCAGGCGCTCCAGGCCTGGGCCGCCCGGGCGGGGGCCCGAGCAGGTGGGGTCGGAGGATCCCTCCGCATCGTCGATGCATCGACGGTGCGGCTCGACGTGGAGGCCGAAAATCTCCACGCCGACGTCGCCGACGCATCGTCGACGTCGCCAGTGAATGGCCGACACATCGCCGATACGCCGCCGATGTATCGGCGATACGGCGAGATCCTCCGACCCCATCTACTCGGACCCCGTCTAGGAGGCCTCTGCCAGGTGAAGCTAGAGGAGATCCATGGCCAGGAGTTCGACTACGAGGCGGCAACCTCTTACCTGAAGAAGTACGGTTCCCTCAAGGACATGACCGAGGCTCAGAGGGCACTGGTGATGTCCCTTATCGATGGCGAGCCCAGAACTCTGCACCAAGCCAAGCTCTCTCCCCTGGAGCGGTTGCAACGGACAGTCTCTGCCTGCTGCGGCCGCTTGAAGGGTTCTAACGTCCGTTCCGATCTGTACGCTACCAAGTTCAAGGAGGTCGTGCTCCACAAGAGGCTTCAGGAGCTCCGCAAGAAGTGGCAGCAGGTGCACAGCGCTCGGAAGCAAGACCAGAAGGCAAGTGCGAGCGTGCCAGCAGGCCCGAAACACTTCACAGGCGACCTTTCCCAGCTGAACACGCCCTCGGAGCCGATCGTGACGATGGTCATCACAAACACCAGAACGACGGCCGTCACAAGGTCGACGACGCTGCCCTCCACTCTGGTCGCGGTCCTTACCGGGGAACACAAAGAATGACGTAAACATGAACTTGTGGAGGCTTCGGCTATCTCGATACGCACGTTTTGATACGCAGCACGTGCCGTACTCAAGATGTCCGTGCCAATACGTTGCGTGTTGGCTCAACGTATTGGCCCACGTTTTGGAGAAAGTATTGCGTCTGACCCACGTTTTCAGGATACGTGTTGAGCTCCGTATCGATACGCTACGTGTTGCGTGTTGCGTATCGGGGCGGCAAAGCGTGGAGGTCCACAGGGCTCCGAAAGCTCGTTCGCCTGCTGATGCGGCTCACTCGCCAGACGAATGGGGGCATGCTCCGCGCGCCGGGGAGAGGGACCCCTGGGATCCGACGTGGCGGAAAAATTGCAACATCGTCAAGAATCACACCCAGAGCCCTAGATCCCATCTTCTTGCAATATGTTTCAAACTGGGTCGATCTGTGAGGGTCCCCGGGCTTCGAACTGGGCGAAATGCTCGTCGTGAAAAAGTGCAACGCCCAGATCTCAGGGACCCGGCGCCGATCCAAGAAGTACATTCGGACTCCACATGTTCATGTGTACGTCATGAAGCGAGCGCACCAGATAATACAGCACGCGCCCGTTTCCCACTTGACATTTTTTTTCCAGGCCAGGACAGAGTTGGTCGGTGGATAGGGGCGGCGAGGCCAAATTTCATTTTCGCCGGGGAACTACGAATCAAAGCTGTTGTCATGTTATACTGTGTAGCGTATTCTATATCTTAGATACTACTATCATTACTACTACGACTGCTGCTACTACGGTTACGAATGCTACTACTCATCATCGGACTACAACTACTACTACTACTACTACTACTACTACTACTACTACTACTACTACTACTACTACTACTACTACGCTTACTACTACTACTACTACTACTGCTAGTACTACTACTACTACTACTACTACTACTACTACTACTACTACTACTACTACTAACAACTAACTACTAACTACTACTCTACTACTACTACTACTACTACTACTACTACTACTACTACTACTACTACTATTATGTAGAAGCTTACTTTAGTCGTGAAGGGGTGAGTGCTCTGGGGCAGGCCGCGGAGGGCCTCCAAGAGGCCTCTCCCTTCCGCTCTGCAGCCGCTTTGGCTTTTCAGGCCCTCTTGGAGGGCATGCGACGGCCTGGGCCCGCGGCCTCCCTCCTGCGGGGCATAGCGGGCCTTGGCCGCCGGCGCCGCCTGCGCGGGGGCCCGCGGGCGGCTGGGAGAGCTGGGCCCCGCGGCCGCCTTGGGTGGCTTCGCCCGCGGAGGCCGCGCGGGCTGCGGCCGCCCCGGCCCGCTCGACTCCCGAGTTCGGGGGCGAGCTGAGCCCGCCGCCGGCCGAGGGGGCCGCGGCGGGCGCTGCGGCTGACGGGCAGCGCTGTGGGCTCGGCCCCGGCGTGGCGCCCGCACCCCGCGCTGGGGCCCGAGAGGTGGGCCCCGCGCGCGCCGCTGGTGCACCTGTGGCTGCCGCCGGTGCAGCTGCACGAGAGCGGGCCGCCGCTGCGCGCGTGCGCCTGGTGCGGCGCCTTTGACCTCGCCATCCCAGGGGGGCTGCGATCTGTGAAACTGTCGCCACTTTCGAGGGCTGCTAAGGGGCACATCACAGTGGGTACACACCGCAGATTCAAATTAGACCTCGCCATCCCTGGGGGGCTGCGATCTGTGAAACTGTCGCCACATTCGAGGGATGCTGAAGGGCCCAGCACAGTGGGCACACACCGCAGCATCAAATTAGACTTCGCCATCCCTGGGGGGTTGCGATCTGTGAAACTGTCGCCACTTTCGAGGGCTGCTGAGGGGCACAGCACAGTGGGTACCCACCGCAGAGTCAAACTAGACCTCGCCATCCCTGGGGGGCTGCCATGTGTGAAACAG